ATAAGAGGGTACTGAAATAGCTATCAGAGCAGGAGTCGTTGTCGGATTGGATTGGCATCAACAGTAGAGCGCGCCAAGAAGAAGTGCTTTCACCTCCGTTCTTCAACATGGCGTTCGATTTTGATGAGGAGGAACGTCGTCCCCAAGAACAGCGATGGATTAACTATTAGATGACAACTCAACCGAGGATGATGAACAGTGTTCATGGCAGACGCCACGACGTACTGCTCTACGACTTGACCTATGGCGTACCGAAACTAACTCAAGAAGTGCGCAAGGTGACCTCGAGAATTCAACCCACCAAAACGAAGACCATGCGAGCACCCGATCAAAAGCGTGAACCTCGGCCTCGGCTCTGTACTGGCAAGAGATGGAAGCTGCGATGTGGAAGCAGAGCGGCGCTTAGGTCTGGAGTCTGTGAATTTTGGGCGATTTCTTAAAGTGTGGTAAGACCGTTGTTTCGGACAGCAACCGAGATCACCATCCTGAAATCCGCTCTCTTCTCAATCCTGACGTACAGGCCTTGAAACATTAACCCTTTGAAAGTACCATGAAGGATGTTGGCCACTTTTCAGCAGCACTGTCTGCATCACGTTCTGTAAGTGCGATGGTTCCATCGCACGATGATTGAAAAGATACTGGAGATGATCGGCCTGAGAATGTTGTTTGAAAAAAGTCAGTACCTGCTCCGTTCTACAGAACCGTCCGGAGAGAAAATGGAGGTTTATCCTAAACCGTTCCCCTTTGGTTAGCAAGAAATGACAACATGCGCGTCGAAGACCAACATCACACGCTAGAGCTGCTGCGGAATTGGTTACGACGAGGAAAATGACCTTAGCCACAGCAGTCAACATTGTTCAAATCATTCTGAAAACGGAAAGCATCAGATATAATTAATGCAGGTACTCGATCCTTGACCATGATGATACAAATGACGATGACAGCAACATTGTTTGCTTCAGTTTTTATATGTGTTTGGTAGTAAAGTCGCTACTTGCATTAAATTGGTTGCATTTGTACACTTCGTTGCAACTGCTGCTCAAAGCACTGGTCAGGCGCAAATCCATGTCTACATATTGTTGCATTGCTCCTTTTGACAGAATATGATATGCTTCGTACTTTAAGTTAAACTTTGCTGAATTATTGATAACATCAATCGAATCAGTGATCACCAAATAGCTCAAATATCAAATATCGTTATTTCCGATATCACTGATAAAAGCAACGATCTTTTATCACCTTCCCTGATTTTCAACGCGCAGTGGTACTGTATTCTTGCTCCTAATCGTTCGGGAAACCGTTTAAGCAAACCACAGCTCCATGACGCGGAGTACCTACAGCGCAGGAACACAAAACTGCATCTTGTGCTGCTATATGTCAGCATACCCATGCATAATAGTCGTCAGGTTTAAATTCATAAATGCATTACAGATGCCATTGGGCTGTGGCCTGTAGGTCCTTGAGCAACTAGGAACAAGAAAGCCACGTGATTGCACAGCATAATTCGGGACTGACAGGAGATCGCCAGAATATTGAATTTCCTATGCATGAGAATGCTATTTTCGTTCGACTGTCAACTCTGAGGTTATTAATAGACTAGCTGCGACTCATACTGGCTAACAAAGGCCATGTGCCAAATGAATGGGGCAGCTTGTACAAAACGCCTTATGACGTTATAGCTGGAATGCCATCGCCCTACTGGGACGAATGGGTCATTTGTATCCATTGGCGCGCAATGAGCCATGCAACCGCATCCGTGGCTGTTTATCTGACCTCCTCTAATGTTGATGCCGATGTCTGCGGTGGCGTGATCAGGTGTTGAAACAAGAAACGCCCGTTGCTCTTAGTCATTCACGCAAAAACAGCCTTACGTGTTCCAAGGCCAGTTTTATTGCCTTTGGCAACGACGAGTTTCTACGTGGCCGATCTGATCTTCGATGTCAGCCCTGTTTCGTGAACGTGTGGCGTGACAGACAAACTTTAAACGACGACAGTCAGAATCGGCGCCAATTTTCTATGTTGGTCACTCGTGAGTAAGAAGGCAGAAGGCGGCGCTCGTTCCTCAGCTATTCAGCTAGGTGTCAGCTGATTTCCGATTTCCTCAACGCGTTCACCTCACCTAAGCGAATGGAACGTCCTCGAACGCTCCTGTTGGCCTGTGTCCTGCTGCTGGCAGGTGAGTCGCTGGGCGTCGACGACTCGCGGTGGCTGGACGCCGAGGATTTCGTCCGTCCGTTGTACCCACGCAGGAACCTGGCGCTGACCAACACGTTGGCTAGCGTCATGCACGACATCATCCACCAGAGCGGCCCGTTCACCGCGTTCACTCTGCCGCCGTTCTTCGAAATCCCAGACCTGCTCGAGATGGTACAGCAACAGCTGGAGATTACTGAAAACGTGCCAGTGTCCGAGGACTGCTTCGCGGACGTGTTGTTTTTCGTTCGTGAAGTGGTCAAGTTTACGACCGCCATCAGGACAACGATTTCGAACGAGTGCGACGAGGAGATGAACCTCGAGATGAAGCGAGTTTGTGAGTTGTCGGTGGCCGCCGCGTTGAACAGCACCTCGTGGGTCGCCGCAGGTAAGCCACGCCTTCCTATCGATTCTGAACAAACCTCAAAAGCTAACGTAAAACATACATGTTAATACTTAACAATTGCTATTGTATCGTCATTTGAGGTCAACAAGCTTAAACAGCAAAGTAGACGAGATTTATTTCGCCTGACTATTAAAAATGGTATTTCAAATTGGTATTTGATAATTACAGCTTGTTGAACGTAAAGTATGCTAAAAAAATTTATTGGGCAGTTCAGTCAGTTAGTTTCAATGAACGCTCATCCTTTCGGATCACGTAGGCAGACGCGTCGGATGGTGCTTCCAACGTTAGCTGTCTCATACCAGCATTTGAGTTTCGGCGGAGTCTGTCGAGACACTTGCCTCAGTTCATTCTCGGCCGTCCCCTGAGCCTTCTGCTGGTCGGCTGGGCAAGAAATAGTTGCTTCGCCTTCCTTTGTGAAGGCATTCGCGAACCAGACGTTTCCAGCCATCGCAACTGTGACTTCTCAGTCTGAAGAAACAGCGGCTTTACATCAAAGCGTTCTCATGTATCTGTGCTCCAGACAGTGTCGAAACGCATAACGTCAGTGGCTGAAGATTTTCAATCATAATCCAACACCGTAGATAAACATGGGGATAAAGGTCGACTTGAATATGGAGAGCTTAGTTTTCAGACTGAGCTCTGCTTTAGTTACGTGGATCGGGTTAGTTCACGCAGAACGCCACTGGCTACTCCCTTTGTCGATCTCTTTCACCAATTTTCCATCACTAGTAAATACAGTTCCGAGGTGCTTGAACTTCCATTGCTTTTCTACATGTCTGAACGAAACAACGGACAGGAGAACGAGAAGACACCAGGCTTTTCGCTTTTAACCGTGACACACACGCCGGCCACATCGCACTCGAGCCTTACTAGAGACCTCTGGAGATCAGCTTCTTAAGATGAAAACGAACAAGATTTTCCCGTCTAGACACGTCCTACGCTGAATCACTCGTCGCTCCATCTGCTTCTGACTATTCTATTCATGTACAATACAAACAGGAGAGGGGACAGGACGCAGCCTTGTCAAAGACCAGTACCGACGTTGAAATATTGCGACTTAGCGCCATTTACTTTGGGTCAGCACCTGCTATCAATTTATAGTAACGGGATGGTTCATCATCGACCCCACATGTTTGAGCCACGCCCATAGCTTGTTCCACGGGATCCGGCATAGGCTATCTCAAGGTCAACAAATTAACGTTAAATTGAATTAAATTAATGTTAACGGATGATCTAGCTGCAACGATTTTTCAACAGTCTGACGTAAGGCGACGATCGGGTCGGATGCGCTTTGGCTTGACCTGAAGGCGCACTGATCCTTTTGAATCATTGAGGCAACTATTCCGCTGTACCTCCTTTGCAACGACTTTGCCTTGGTTTATTCGGCAGTTAATGACTAATTGTGTTTGTAAAGCAAGGCCTCTTTAAGGATATGGTTTACCCTTGTTCTTAATGGTAATCACGATTTAGCAACAACAGCCGTTGTTAACAGCTGAGAACGAAAACAGCTGTAACTCTACTTTCAGAAACATTAATAAGACCTTCACCCCGAGGCTTCAGAGCGTAAACCGGATAACCCTGTTTACCCACATCGTGTTTAGAAAGTCATGTTTTTATTGCATTTAGTACGGACTTTCATAAATCCAACAAAACACCGACTGAAATAGGGAAAAGGAAAATCTGTGTCGGTGTGTCAGATTACCTTACACTCACTTTCAATATGGGTATCTTTCGTGGAGCGGCACAAATCTCCATTTTTGTATCATCAGCCCAGGAGGTAGTTGTTGTTGTATTTTTGGTTTGCATATTGCGTTGGTTATCGCACTGGATAGGCAGTTATCAGGTGAGTCAAAGCGAATTGCAGCCTAAGAGGTGCTCGCGTCAAAAAAATGACCGTACCATACGCCAGTTGTGGTATGCTCTATATGACTATACCAAAACACCTACTTTGCCACAATTTGCATATGAAGGACTTACGGTCCATTTCTGAGCTGTTGGCTCCATAGCAACGTAGGACGAATGCTTTGCTCAAAGGAATTTGTGGTCAAAGAAATTGTTGTTTGTTTCGAAGTCGATCTATTCCGCTGTCCAAAACGGTTTTAACCGCGAAAAGATTTCTTTCCACCGAAAAAGAGGCAGCGATTTAGCCGACCGGATTTTAAACCAAGGATCTTTGGACTGTGGATCCGACGATTTATCGACTAAGCAGCCTGTGCCCTAAATCGAAACACCTTGTTGCATTCACTGTGTCGCTTCGGCGGTAGTGAAAGCTTGACGATGAACCTCAAAACGATCATCTAACGAAGCAATTCAGACGGTGATTGACAGGTAACTTTGTGAGTTTAAGGAAAATCTATGCACGAAAATGTAACTGATTATTTGCTAGGGCAAAATAGTGGATTATCGTGGTTCACAGAGAAAGCATGGTCATCATCTAGCCAATACAGAAACACCTATGTTGGTGCATGATTGGTTTCGCACCTTTAAGCTATTCAGTCTTCGTTTAAAGAAAACAGTTATTTCCTCTCAGTTTATATTTGTTTTTCAAAAATAATTAACTACAACTCTACCCCTGGAGAGGTCTATATCTAAATATATTTTTCATAATTTCGGAATAGGTCGCATTTCATTACTGTTGGCTTAGCAGCTACAAGTTCTGCATGAGTTGATCTGTAAACATGCGATGGGCTTCTTTTCTACGCTTGTTGCCATCGTTTGCTACGCTCCAAGTATCGCCGATAAGTTGCTTATCTAAAGCACTGTGATGCTTTTACGAAATTATGACTTTGCTTATCATTAAGCTGTACTACTTTTAATGATTGTATGATGTGTCTGCAAGCTGTCTATTTAATGGCACATTTCAATAAATGGCGTTTGCAAAATTAGCGGAAATTTATATAAATAGCTTACAGAAGTGCTTACACGGAAAGCCACTCAAAGATACGTGAATGATAAGGTACTTTTTTGCCTGTTGCAGACCCCTTGAAGACTGAATGATGGGTTACGGTTTCGATGATGTCATTTGCTGTTCATTCTTGCGTAAAGGCGACCCTGAGTCAGCACCTTCGTTCCTCACTATTCTGTGGATTATTGATCTATCTCAAAATTCCGCAGTCATCATCAGCCATATGATATAAGAAATTTGCTAGCGACCAATCTCTTATGTAATTTTTCATGAATCACCAGGCGGCTGATAGTCAAGGCCACGTTTGCTGATCTGAGCTAATGTTCACATTCCATCAGACTGCAGGCCCTTACTTATCAAGGTGAATGAATCTGCATGTTTCATTGTTTGGCTGGGAGGGCTAGAAATTTCAGGTCCTATCAAGGCAAGCAATTGGCCTATGTAAATATTTCAAGTGAAAGCATTCAATTGTTATTTTTTATTGTTTACGCTAACCAATGAGCCTCCATGACCGAAGCCTCTAATTTACTGTAGCCGCATCAGGGAATGATTCTGAAACCATCCGTCAACAACCACCTCGACGCAGCCCCAACATCTCGAGCATCTGGTTTTACCGGTCATATAGCAATCTGTCGCATCTAACCTTGACCTGTGAAGAAAGATGCAATTGGTCAACTTTATAAGTGAATTATGGGTAGCTAGTTTTCGGCCGTAACTTTGCCTCATGATCGTTCTTCACAGCAAACTTTGAAAACCAAGCTCTCTGGCTATCAACCTTCGTTCGTCCAAAGGCTGAGTAGTTCCTTTATTAATGTTTGCTGGTTTTCCCAGTCTAGTAAATTGTCATTCGAAATGAACAGCTTTGAAAACAACCTCTTATCTTACAAGGCTTTTTCTATCTGCAGGTACTCCCTCTTCCACCCATTGTTGTAGTGCTGCCATAACTGTTCTTATTGCGTTTAAGCGAGGACACAATTGCAGCGAGAATCGCCAGAAGACGGAAAATGGCCGGATGTCATGTCAAGCATGCTTGTGAACCTTTGCCTTAATCAACTCCTCTGAATACGTTGGAACGATCGCACTGATCGCATAGGCGCGCTCTAAGGACAGCTGTTCCTAAACAATATCTCAGAAATTGATGCTTCGCTGTGCATGCACTAGAAAACGCCTGCCCACCGAACGAGGCCAACTTGAATGTGTTTGAGTAGCAAAGAGACAGAGATTGCCTAGACATTGACTCCCTGCGCACTTCTGTGAACAAAAGCGTAATGCGCAATGGCCGATTTCCATGGGTCATGTGACCAATTAATTGTCTTTACTGTAACGGCATTTGGTCGGGCGATTCCATTGTCTTTCCTTGATGGCCACTGGTTTTTAGTGAAAGCGATTAATGCGCATTAAGTCCATTTATTCGTCTCCAATCAAGTAGCTGGTGTCGTAGGGGGACAGGGCGATAGAGGTCGGTGTTGAACTCCAGAGGAGGCGCGTTCGAGTTCGCTCAAGGTACAGTCTTTGTCGTAACCGTAA